CATCTATAAAATGGGATTAAGAAGTATCTACCTCAAAGGTTTCAAATGGTGCTATGGGAAAGTAGGCTGCTGTTATTTAGAGAGACTCTACATAGGAGTACCCTCTACGTAGGGAAGGCAGATCTTAAAGTGTAACCCTTCCAGCAGACAATCAATATGTACCTATTGGACCAAGACATGTGGGGCACAGAAACGAACTTCTGAATACAGGTCTGTCATCATCCAGATCTATGCAACAAGTAAGTAGTTTTGCCTCCACCTAGATTTTCTGGGTCCCTCCAGACTCCCACAGTTGGACACTACACACACGAACAAGGATGAGGCCGTTACAATGTTTTGTGTGGAAAAAAAGCCAAGCTGTGGTCCCTTCACTAAATCTCGGTGCTATTTAAGCATCTCCCTCCCTCAGCTCCCCTACGAGCCAGTAGTATGCTGGGAAAGGAAACATCATGAAAACTGGTCCAGGCATCACCTCCCCCACCAACACACACACACACACACACACACACACACACACACACACACACACACCACCCTCGCGGGGGGGGGGGGGGGGGGGGGGGGGGGGGGGGGGGGGGGGGGGGGGGGGGGGGCTGGGGGTTCCCGGGCCACTCACTCGGCTGCTGAGCAGGCCCAGGACGGAAGCCACGGTCGTACAGCCTTCGCAGCGTCAGGAACGCAGCACACGGAAGAAGGGCTTGCAGAGCGCCGGCTGTCCGTCAGCGTGACTCAGCACTACGCTGTGAGGCCTCAGGAAGGCGGAGTCTCTAGGTCTCTGGGGTTTTGGATGGGGTGACACTCCCTTTATTTACCCTGGGTTTGGATCCTCTGACTCCGCCTCTCTGGGTCTGCCTTTTGAGCTTCTATCCAAAGAGTGATGCGCACCCCGACCTCTTGGGGGCGCGCTGTCCCCCTATGTGTGGCGTGCTCCGGTGCTCGGCAAACCTCTAGATTCAGCTGGAAGGAAAACCTGTTTTCACTCCAGTCAGTTTGTCACCCAACCCTTTGGCTCTAGGGGCAGGAATGTTTCCTAACCGCTTGTCCTATTTTGGGCAGGTGAGTCAGCCTCTCTGTGCGTCAGGTTCCCAGTGAAATGAGAGTGGTGAACACAGTACCAACATGGCAGGGTTGTAAGAAGAACAAAATGAGCCCGCCTCCTCCTAGGTGCTACCCAGTTGTTTCTCATAAATATGCTTCTTGCTGTTTGCCAGAGAGAACGGGGCCAGGGACAGAGTAGAAGAGCCAAAACATCTCTGTTCCTGCCGAAAGGGCAGGCACACTCTAATAGGTAGACATGTGACGAAGGGCTTGGATTTTGTTGAGCTGTAGGGAGAAGGCCTTGGAGAGCTGCCCTCAAGAGGATGAGAATGTGCACCCAACCAGGAAGCAATTTAGTTTTCCTCGGACTTTTAATCAGGCGACGCTGCCAACCTGAATATTCTTTAAACACTACAAAGTCTTGTCTTGGGAAAAGAGTGAGAGCAGGAACCCTGAAATGAACCTGGACAACTGTCTAAAACAGAGTTTCCAGCTGCGTGGCTCTTCCGAGGAGACTGCTCCAGTTTGCCTTTGTAGCCAGGAAACAGCCACAGATCACACTTACTGAGCATGGCTACATTTCAATAAAAATTTTATTACAGATAGCGAAATTTTAATTCATGAGATTATATTTTGAATTCATGCAATTTGCACTTATAAAATAGTCTTTTGACTTTATATTTCAACTAATATTTTGAGACCCGGTTCCGTATATCCTGGGCTGGCCTTGCCTCTCTAGATAGCCAAGGATAACTTTGAACTTCTGATTTTCCTGCCCACGTCCCCAAGTGTTGGGATCACAGTAGCTCATCCACCACCATGGCCAGTTTTATGTGGTCCTGGAGACTGGACCCAGGGCTTGGTGCTTGCTAGGCGAGCAATCTGCCAACTGAGTTACACCCCCATCCCCCTCAACCTTAAAATGTGAAAAAGCAACCCTGGTTTGCAGACTGTACAAAATGCATACAGTGGGGGTGCATACCTATTTGGCCTGCATGCATAGTTTGTAAACGAAGAGGGAAGTAGAAGAGCAAAGAATCAGGAAAATGTAGGTGACTGAAGATCCTGATATTTATTTACCCTGATAACCTTTCTCAGCTTTCAACTTTTGTAAAACTGTGTCTTCTGACCAAAAGAAGATGGCTTTGAGGATTACAGCATTGAAGTAAAGGTCAAATCTGATTTTAATAATTTCTACCTAATATTGGATTTACTGAAATGTTATGGGTGGCATGTGCTGATGTCTACAACTTACTTTGAGTGCACCAATAATAGTAACAACAAAAATATCATAGTTGATGGGCAAATAAATTCATGACAAAGTCAACGTCAGGAGAATGTTAGTTGTAGAATGTAGGTGGAGGCATACGGGTGTTTTGACTTCTTTTAACCTTTCTCTATGATATGTTTCATAACAAAATTTTGTAAAAACATAACAATCAAATAGGAAGGAAAACTGAAAAACATCCATAAAGTTACTCCCCTTTTCCTCCTCTCTTTGCTCCCAACTCTAGTATGTGGTACAGTATCTATGGAACAGAGCGGCTAAACCCAATTCCAAGCTACTAGGACAGTCCTACAGCTAACAGGATTTTTCTATGGCATGAGTTTGCAAATTTTGTTTCTGAGAAAGCTAGTTAGTGAACACCTAATTTCATAGGCATAAGTCTGTTATAATTGCTCCCTTCTGCCATTACATAGCAAAGGCAATCCCCCGCAATAATTCATTAAGACATGGTTGCTCTACTCCAGTTGATTTTGTTTTGAGAAAGCAGATGTGACTGACTCACTTTTCTGTTTCAAGGCTTCAAATACTTACCTTCCTCCAAGGAACCGGGGTAAACATGACTAGATGTCAACAGTTTATGTAAAGGTGTCATAGGTAACTAGAAAGGTCATAACAAGAGTGAAATAACAGGCTTCTCCATGCACACTTCACACACCCATCTCCTTTCACAGGGAAAAAGGTTGTTTGTTTCATCACTGAACCCAAGGTTTGCTACACAAGCATCTTTGATATGTTCACACTCATTTCCAATGAGTGTGAACAATCCATCTCAGATCCCAACTTCTAAGCATGTTGTTTTAACACCAGAATAAATACGCACAACAAGTAATGGATCTAAACTCCCAATGGACACCTACCCATGCCAGAAAGCTTGGCCTACAAGAAGGCTGTCAGAGCCCTTGTAGGCTTACACTTTAGTAAAGATAGACACTAGAAATTATGTGTTGTATCATAAAAAAGCGAATACTACTGGGGAGAAAAGAGTAAGAGGACTAAGCATGCTAGGTCAGTGTGGGGGCTGTAGTATGGATGGGATGGTCAAGATAAGATTCATTAGTAAACCGAGCTACATCCCATATCAACGTTGGGTTTTTAAACAGACTTGTAGACTAGTATGGCCTGGAACTCTCAATGTAGCCCAAGCTGATGTTAAACTTGTGAGAGATAACTCCAGTTTAGACCAATAAGTAGCAAGAGAGGTCTTGAAAAGTGGTCCAATATTTGGCACATTTAGAAGATAGTGTTAGCCATGGTTCATGATGGATGGATCCAGAGTAATAAAAATGTAGCCTAGCTTGGTTGGTTTGACCCACTAGATGGATGGGTGGAGCTGCTATTAACTGAAGGAGGTAGTCGTAGGGATTAATCAGGAAGTCTGCTTTCAACATGCTAAAACGGGCATATCTATTAGATATCCCAAATAGAGATGGACACGGACACATTAACAATGAAATATAAGTCTCTGAAATCCAAGGGGTCTTGGTTAAAACCCAAAACAATTATATTTAGAGTAATAGTTAGAGCTGAATGACTCTTCCCGGTTGGCTAGCATAGAGGTAGAAGGTGCTACGCAGGCAGCTGCTGGAGAAAGCCATCAGTGGTCTTACCCAGATGTGGAGCCATATTCTTTTTTTGATGACTAATTATTTATTGAAAACAGTAGGAGGTTCCATGACACCAAATAAACTGGTTCTGAGATTTCCGCAAGATAAATTTAACAGCTCCAGCTTCTTCAGTGTTTATCAAAATACAAAAGAAGAAAGTAGAGGTCGTCTTTCCATGGCAAATCAAACCCTTGCAGGCTGAGGGAGGAAGCTACTTCACACATGGAGATGGAGGTGCTCCGGGATGTGGATCTGGAATGGATCGACCCTCCCAGCTTGCAGCGCTCCTGCTGGTGAAATCCAGGCCTCCTGCCAGTGGGTCAAGTGGGCTGAAGAGTAAGCTGGGTATGTAGACTGCCACCTGGCCCTGCCGCACACCAAATACAAGCCGGACCCTGCACCCCACAATGGCTCCCAGCCCACCCCTAGGTGACCACGTGAGCACAAGTACAAGCACAAGGCTATGGAATGCGGGTGACTCAAAGACAGGCGAGTCACGGGGGCTCTACTGTGACCATGCAGCGGATGGTGGTTTGTCGTCACTTTCTTTCTCTCCTGTTCTGATGGGCTAGCATTCAGGCCATTACTGCAAAACCTACACTAGGCATAGTCTCCGTTCTGTATGTTCAAGTGTTCTTGTCCTGTATTTTTTTTAACTTTTTTTTTAATTGTCTGAGTTTGGGTAAAAACCAACCACCAAATGGATACTGACACCAGTCTACAGTCCAATGGCTCCCGGAGGCCAGGTGCCCCTACACCAAATCCCTTCTCAGTACTGACAGTGATCTCTTTCTAGAATAAAAAAAAAAAAAAAGCTAAGTAATAGTGCATAGGAGTACCAGAGACTGCCTCAGTGGAAACAGAAACTATTTACATCAAATAAAAACCTGGCTGCAGGCTGCGTCTGCACATGTACAGCACGGTGCGATGCACGCTATGACTAACCCATGGAGACAGCTTCTGGCACTCAGGACCACAGAGGAAAGTGGAGGGTGGAGAAGAGGAAGTGAAGGGGGAGGGAGGGGTCTGGGTCACTTCTGGTTCAGGAGCTGATTGGAGATCCAGTCTAGTCAGTCATAGAGCCCGTCCCCGCTGGTGGCACAGGTGGCCTGAATGTACCAGTTCCTGTGGCGTAGAGAGTGCAGCCCCAGCTTGCCTGTGATTTCAGTCGCATTCGTGGCATTGGGGAGGTCCTGCTTGTTGGCAAACACCAAGAGAACGGCATCCCAGAGCTCGATTTCAGCTAGCCTCCTCATGAGCTCTTCACAGTCCTCATTCACACGCTCTCTGTCATTGCTGTCCACTAGGGGGATCAAGCCTTGGGTGTACTGGAAGTAGTGGTGCCACAGTGGCTGGATCTTGTCCTGGTCGTCCACATCCCACATGGTGAAGCTGATATTCTTGTACTCACTGTCTCCACGTTGAAACCCAATGGTGGGAATGGTGGTTAGAATTTCACCCAGCTTCAGTTTGTTTAGAACTGTTGTCCTCGAGGCAGCATCCAGGCCCACCATGAGAATGTGCATTTCTTTTTCTGCCAAAAAGGCTCTTGAAGAGGTTTGCAAAGATATTTCCCATGCTTGTGGACAGGTGGAAACGATACTGGCCAGAGACCTCGCGGCGGCAGCTCCTAACCAATACATATTCTTACAATATGAACCTTCTATGCCTCATATGCCCACTGGTACAATAGTGGCAAGATCGTTGTGGAGTCACCAACTACATATACTTGTCTTTGAGGCCCAACTCCATGGGAAGAAATATATGCCTGGAAATATAAACTTGGTCAAAGTCCTATGGCTGGGGAAGTCACAGGCCCTAGTTGTGAGTCTACTATTGTTTTGTTAAATAGGCATGTAGCTAAACTGTCCTCTAAATATTTGTGTTTATTCCCATAAATTCGTGCTTTTTTTAGTCTGGGCCAGAGAAGCTTCTTATTGCGGTGTGACACAGTTAATGTAGAGACTCGTCATAATTGCTCAAAGTGCTGAGCATATATAACTTTCACCTGTTCAGCTCTAAATGTGACAGGTATGGTCTGATTCCCTTTCCAAGAACCAAGGAACAGCCTACAAGAGGGGCCGGCAAGACGATGAGCGCCGGAGGATGGAGAGGAGTACTATGGAACCCTGTCTTCTGCGTGTGGCGTGGCTGTTATAATCATGAACACACAGCAGCTGTGACCCCCCCTGCACATAAAGAGAAGGAGAAGGAGACCTAGTTAGAAAGAAGAAGACAGCCGGAGTAGAAGGAGGAGAGGGGAGCGGGTGTGATTAAATACATTGCATACTTGTATAAAATTATCAAAAAGTTTAAAAATAAAACATAATTATCTGTGTTGGAGCAACACGGCCTCCAACAATAATTCAAACAAAATTGTTTGAGACAGGGTCTCACAGTGTAGCCCTAGCTGTCCTGGAACTGCTATGTAGACCAGGCTGTCCCTAACCTCACAGAGATGCACCTGTCTCTGCCTCCCAAGTGCTGAACATAGCAAACAATAGAGATCAGCCACTAACCGGAGAGATTCATATTCTCTCTCTCTCTCTCTCTCTCTCTCTCTCTCTCTCTCTCTCTCTCTCTCTCTCCTCTCCTCTCCTCTCTCCTCTCTTCTCTCCTCTTTCTTCTGTCTACTCTCTCTTCTCCCTCTTTCCCCTCTCCCTGAACCTTTGTCTGTTTCAATCATAGCAGGTTCGATACCATAAGTTTAAGGGAATAAGATTCTTCATGCCACAAAGTCCAATCCCACGCTGTGCCCCTTTGGCTGTTGCTTACATCCAAAAAAAAAAAAAAACCAAGGATCTCACCTGCCAAAGGAGATAACAAAGACTATAATTTGAGTACATTAACTCACACAACTGGAATCAAAAGTTGGCAGTTAACTGAAACCATGGAAAATGCAGAGCCAAAGAAAGTTTCAGGAGAAATAGCGGGGGGCGGGGGGGTGCGAAATAAATCCGTGACATTTTAACTTAGAGGAAACTACTCTTTCTTGCTGCCTTTGAATGTTTCAAGACCCAAGGGGAGTGTTGAAATCCCAGGAGATAGTACCCAGGTTTTTCTATGCTTTTATCATCCCTTCCTTCTCTTTCTCTGAATTATTCTTATTCTAAAAGCTATCTACCAGGTTGCCCTATATAAGCCATGAAATAAATATGAATCACCATATGGAAAAAGGTGTAGAATTAAATCATTTTACCAGGTCATTGGGGCTGTGCTCTGTTTCCTATCATGACAACAATCTCAACCAGAATGATAACACATGGCAGGCGCTCCATGATTTGACCAACTCAAAGAATAGCAGCGATATTAACCCTACCTCTGCTTAAAAGAATGCTTGCTGGATGAGCTCCCAAAGTCCAGTGGAAGAGTGAGAGGAGTGAGAATATGAGCAAAGAGGTCAAGACCATAGTGGGTTCACCCCCTGAAACAGTGTTACCTGAGCTAATGGGAGCTCACCAACTCCAGCCAGACAGGGAAGGAAGCAGCATAGGACCAAACTAGTCCCTTTGAATGTGGGTGACAGTTGTATGGCTGGGGCAGACTGCGGGGCCACTGGCAATGGCACCAGTATTTACCTCTACTGTTTGTACTGGCTTTTTGGAACCTATTCTCTTTGGATGTATACCTTGCTCAGCCTAGATATAGTAGAAAGGGCCTTGGACCTTCCTCAAAGTAATGTGCCTTACCCTCTCTGAGGATTAGATGGGGGTGACATGGGAGGGTATGTGGAGGGAATGGGAGGAGGAGAGAGAGTGAGAACCTGAATTGGTATGTATAATGAAAAAAAGATAGTTTGTTTTCTTTTAAAACATAAGTAAATAAATAAAACGGAGGGAAAAAAGAATGCTTGTTGAAAAGTCAGGGACTTCAGGCTCCATTGCCCACACAAGGTGTCATCATATGACCAGGTCATACATGCTCATAGACACATTAACATGCCCACCAATTCATTAACTAATATAGCACATCAATGCATAATGAAAGGATAATTTGCTTGCATCCTACAGCTGACTCTAAAATATGCCTTCAGGGGATGGAGATAAGGCTCAGTAGTTTAATTCACTGGCTGCTCTTGGAGGGCCCGTGTTTGATTCCCAGGACTCTCATGTTGGCTCATAACTGTCTGCAGCTCCAGTCCTGGGGTATCCATCCTTTTCTGGTCTCTACATGCATGTTCTGCACACACACACACACACACACACACACACACACATACTCAGGCAAAAATAATCCACACACACAAAATAATAAGTGATTGAGATTTAAATGCTGTTAGATTTGTTATACATGACCAGCCAGTATACACCAGAGAAAATATTCAGATGAAAAAAAAAGCCAAGTACCAAACTGCGGTCACTATCAAGAAAAACTGGCAGTCACACTTTTTCCTTGTGATATGGGCACAGCATACATTTAGCAAAACCAGTCTCCCTCTCATTTTTAGACTAATTTCTCTGACATGAATGAACTCATTTCCTATGGGCGCACTGGTAGAATTTCTGCTAGTCTTTGAGTTCCTTCTGTCTTCCGACAGCAGGTTTGGCTGTGGCAATGGAAGTGGTGTTGTAGGACCAGGTCCCCCCAGCCACCATTTTCATGCAGTACCAGGTGCCCACGGCTTATTTCTTTGCCTAGGTTTGGCCTCAGAAGAAACAAAGTGTGCTAGGCTTGCTGGCTGATACCAGTTTTTAACCATTTTCAGAGGAAGACATCATATTGAGTCCCACTTTTACTGACAATTCCAAACTTCTTTCTAGTCTTTAACAAAACGTAGCTATGGGCACCTTCGGGGCTGTGTTTTTTGTTCTCTGGGCCCCCTTTGTCCAAGTGTTGGGCTGAAGTTTTCATTGCTTAGTCTCTGTACTCTTTGGCGTTACCTAATGATTTCCTGCTTCTGGCTCCTGTGAGAGAAGTCAGCGTCAGAAGCCGGGTTTCACCAAGATATTTTCTTGTCCTTTCCAGCACAAAGCTCGAGAAACAAAGGCCGGGTTATCACATGTCCCCAAGAGCTGCCTGGGAAAAGCCGGAGCTGCAGTTATCAGTGGTAGAAGCCTTTCTGAAATATGCTTTTGTCTCCGTGGCCATTGCATTCAATCACATCAACAAGTGTTGCCTAAGTGTTGAGCGTGGCTTCCTGTGGGATTGTGTAAGGCCCTGCAGGACAATAAACGCTTTGGGGGCACTGAGTCGTGTAGCCATTTCTGACCTGACAGCCAGGGGAAAAAATGTGAGACAATTGGCTGCTACTGCAGAGAGAGAATACAGCTGAGGCTGGGATCTTGAAGGAGCTGCTTCGCCTCACTGTGGTGGACCCCAGAGAGACAGAAGAAGCCTAAAATGGTACGTTGAAGTGGCTATACGATGTCATAGCCTACAGAAGGATAGGTTTGGACCAAGATGTTGAGGGGATGGAAGTTTTTTTTTTTTAATTTTAAAGAGCCCATCACAGTAAATAATAATAATAATAATAATAATAATAATAATAATAATAATAATAACTACAAAATTAAGAATACAGAGGTGTTGGGCTCCCCCTGGGAATCAAAAGCGAGCTTGAAATTTGGGGACCAGAAGTGGAAACTGCTACTGTCTCGCTGTGAACTCTTCACCTTGTTCAAAAGCTCATTCAGAGAGTCTGTCTGATGGGGTGCGGAGCACAGCCACCTGGATGGAGCTTTGGGCTCTTTCTTTCCTCTACTGATTTTCCCCAGACTTTTGTGTCCATACTGCCCTTGCAGGGCTTTTCACATTCTCTTTATAACCGCTTGAAAAAAGACAGAGTTTTTTTTTTTAAAAAGCTATACCTTCTTTTCTTTTTATTTCCCTCAAGTTCTTTCAGCTACGAACATTTGCTTTTAGGTTTCTGAAGTCTCCCTAAATCCGACAGCACGAATGCTTATTGTGGAAGTAGAAATATGGGAGGCAAATGGTGCATTTGGTTCTGCAGCCATAGAATTGAACAGTTCTCACTAGCCGCCATGACTTCAGTGGACTTCAACATGATACAAAAAAAAAAAATCGTGCCTTATGTCAGTGCACCTTAAACACTAGCGTGCCCATGAGTCACCAAGATTGTGGTGTAGGTGAAGGTCTGGGGTGAAGACAGAACCAGCCGTGCTTTTTACATTGTATGTAATCTACTCTTTGATACGTTTATACATGGATGCAAAGTACTTTGGTCAAGTATTTATTTAGTTCAACCTCCACTGTCCTCTCTTAGTCCCCTCTCACTCCCGCTGGAAGCCCTTCATCTGAACAAATATCCTTCCTGGTTTCATGCCACCTTTGTTGGCACCCATGGAGTTGCATTAGGGTTGCTTGTCTGAGTGTGGGCAGGGGACTATTTACTAGAGCAGCTTGCTAGTGAAGGTGCTATCTAAGCAGCTCCGGGAGGTATCAATGCTATCGAACCTTAGAGTCACTTCCAAGATAAATGTTTGTCGCGGTGCAAATGCACCACCCATAGAGGCTGATTCAACCCGATTCGAGGGTAACTAGTCCCCGGATAGGGCCTGTAACAAAC